AGTTAGAATTAACTGGGTGTAATTGCAGCTACACCTAATAATTACCACTAATAGGCGTTGCACTTTGCTCGGCCAGTTTAGAGTCCCAGCATTCTGCATGATGGCTCGCTGGAAAGGCAACTGGAACATGAGCTCCTTCTGGGGCCAGGAGTGAAAATGTACCGTAAAAAAGGTCCGCTCATACATTTTAATACAGTACACAACAGAGGTGAGTACACCCACTGCATCAGCTCTCAGTAACTGCATTACTTCTAAATGGAACAGTAGGGTATTTGCTCTCATGTTAAATTAAGAAACAACAGATAAGATTTACTACAATAAAAATACAGGCCTCAGAGTAGGAACTTAATACTAAAGATCAGGACACCTCTCTGTTTTTCAGAACTAGATTGTGAAAGCAGCACATTATAGCCCAAGACAAATTCCCCACACCTGGGACAAGAAAGTTCATCTTGAATCTTATCTCTGGCATCATCTGAGGAGGATGACCACTGCTGCTCTTATAAGTGGCACTATAGCTCATTTTATACCCCTACTATAAATGCTACTTCATTCCCATTGTTTTAGTTGCTCAACAGTCTTCCTGTTTCCTTTTCCATCTTTCTGAAAATGTCACAATCAGGTTTTTCTGGGCCTCTGGCAAACCTGTTTGCATGTGGAGCTATGATGTACAGATAGACACAGCCCATAGGTCCAAAGAAAGTTCTGGTGTACACGGGTCATTTTATAGCCAGGTTCATAAAGTCTTTGAAGGTATTTGTTTTTGGCTGTTTATATGAGGAAATGCTCTACTTTTCAGCTTAGGACAACCATTATTCAGAGCTTATGTAATTGGACCTTTATGTAATTTTGTTCAGGGGTATGCTCACTTCTGCTGTATTCTGTATTTCTCACCTATGAAGACACTTAAGCAGTTAAAAAGTTGTGTGAAATGCTTGGCTACAGCTTAATCTGATCTCCAAGTGCGGAAGCTAGTATGACATTTTTCTCCTGTACCCGTGTTACTGACATCATTATTTAAAACAGTGACACAAAAACTAGAGTGAGTGCATCATTTCTGCTTTACTGAAAACAGGTCACAGAAGTGACTTAGTCAAACAAAACCACACAGCTGGAGTGCAGATTGCAGATATCTGCAGACACTTATCAGGCTTCCTTTAAATACAAAAATAGCACAAGCTCATCTTAATAACTGCATGTGATAAGAATATAAAGTAAACTGATGCATGAAACACTATGTCCAGTGCACTGCAGTAAAATCTAAAGTTGCAAGACCCCCTTCTCGTCACATTGCACTTTCCAGTCCTATCACAGCTGTGAAAAGGAAGCGAGCTCTGATGGCAGAAGTCTGATCTTCCGTTATGTTATTGGGCAAGAAAATACTGAGTGTAGTAAACGAACACTCAGAACAAGAAGTGTTGTCCTCGTCACTGCCTTACGTAAACCTGTCTGAAACAACAACCCGTCCCCCTCCACCGGACTGACACCTCTCCAAATGAAACACACCATGCTGGCTTCATGTCAATGAGGTGGAGAAGAGCTGACATTAAGAAAACACTGAAAGCTGGCAAGACCTCCTCCCTTGGGCATCTGCTTTCACTGCACTAAGTTGTAAAACTTGACTGTGAATCGCTGTGTGTGGCTCAGACATCTGTTACCATCTTATTATGTTAACTTTCCTTATTTACCTATTAGTCCATAGAAATCAGACGAGTTAAACTAATTTGAGGTAAGAAGAACTAACACTGGATGGTCTCATGTTTCCTACAACCTTTTAACAGTCGACAAACGAGTCCCTGTTGTCCTACAAGATTAAGGCGTCACATAATACTGTGCTGCCCTTCATGGAAGATGCATGTAAATGGCACCATAGAACTAAGAGCTACACTTGTTTTTGTATCATCAACAACAACTAAGCTATTTAATCTAGGACAGAATTAGCTGTATATAATGAACATTATTCTGACATATCCTGTAACAGGAAGGCGTGTTTGTGAGTCATACTTGATATGGTTGCACCCATATATTGGCACATTTACCGTATTAGACGATATCACATCAGCTTCCAAATAGAAAATCTGTATGTTTTACTGCTATTTGTTGAATTAGTGTTTTGTGATGTCTTTTTAATGGGATCATGCCACTGTCAGTGTCATGTTAGACACAAGGACTGCTGTAATTTGACTTTTTACTCTCGATAACCAGTTGGCAGTATAATAGGATAAAGGTAAAATGTTCAACCAGGAGAAGCATCCCACTGTGCTGGGGCACCACCAAATCAAACAAACTGTAGAGCTGCAACTCCATCCATCCATCCATCCATCATCTATACACCGCTTAATCCTTACTAGGGTCACAGGGGGCTGGAGTTTATCCCAGCTGACTCAGGGTGAAGGCAGGTTCACCTGGACAGGTCACCAGTCTATCACAGGGCTACACTTAGAGACAGACAACCAAGCACACTCACATTCACACCTACGGACAATTTAGAATCACCAATTAACCTCAACCCGGAGAGAACCCACGCTGCACGGGGAGAACATGGAGACTCCACGCAGAAAGATCCTGGGTGTCCTCACTGGGACGCGAACCAGCGACCTTCTAGCTGTGAGGCAACAATGCTAGCCAGTGAGCCACCTAGGGCTGCAACTGATAATTATTTTTTAATTGATCACTTGGCGGATTTTTTTAAAGGTTTTGACAGCTTTTAAGTTTGTTTGTACATTAAACATCCTTATACAACTATAATAAAAGATTTTATTCATTTTACTTTACTATCACAATTTTTGACTTTTGGGATTTTTTAAATCCTTCTGTTTTTTTTTTTGGCAAGACTCTCTTCAAAGAAGTTATTCCGGTAAATTAATCGTAGCAATTGGACTTGCTTGAGTTGCTTGAAGACGTTCCACCTCTCATCCAAGAGGCTTCATCAGTTCTGACTGACTAGTTGGGAGTTCCAGATACTTATATCCTAACGGAGCCATTAATACCTGAGTTTCGGTTTCATTTGGGGGTTTGTTGCTCCTCTCCCTCGTTATATGGGTTGTTAGTGCCCCCCCGCCACAAAGGTGTGAACACACCTAGCCACAAAACACCCTAACGAACCCTAACCATGACCTGGATGACCGAGAATCTTCACAGACATGTTGCTGCTCTCTTCAAAGAGGTTATTTCGGCCCTTATTTTTATTGTCGACTGATCTGTCAGTTATTTTCTGAGATCAGATATTTGCTTGGTCTGTGAAAATGGCAGGAAAATGTCAATCAGTGTTTCCCAGATCCCAAAATCACATCTTCAAATGTTCTGTTCACAACCCCATAATGTTCAGTTTACTGTCACAGAGAAGTTATATCGAAAAAAAGAAATAAAAAAGAAATTTTACTTCTTTCCTTAAAAAAAATCCAACTGATTCATTGATTATCAATCCAGTCGATAACTAATCAATTATTTAATTAATCACTGCAGCTCTTTTTTTTCCCGCAACTCAATAAATCCATTATAACCTTCTTTTAAATAACTACCTAATTATCTCTCGGCAATAATGTCTGAAAATCTTCACCTGTTTTGCACCTGCATCTGTGACCGAATAAATAAAACCACATATATCAGCTGACATGGATGGCATTGCTTTAGTTTCTCTCTTTATGGTGACACCATCTTGTCTGTCTGAAACCATAACAGAAGGGCTGTTTTCTCTTTTCCTACATTTTCTTAAGGTTCTGACAGCTTGTGAGTTACTTCAGGCTGCTGTCTACAGTGTTTCTAGGATTAAAGTGATGAAATCAGATTTGATTCATGATTTTCTGATCACATTTTCTGATTTAGTGAAATTTTTATTTTAAATTTCTGTATATTTTATCCAAGACTCTCTTCAAAGCTGTTCTCCTTTATAAATAAAGTCTAAATAAAGCCCAGCCGGAGGAAGTCTGAGCTGTACCCTGATATCTTTTGGTGTTTTCTCCTGCAGAGGGGCTGTGTCTGCCAGGCTCCCATCCGTGCAGAGCAGCAAACAAAAAGCAGCTTTAATCATTTGTCAGGGATAAAGTGGAGGACCCACCCTGGGCAGCTGTCCAACACAGTAGCGGGCAGCTCCTTGGGAAAATCCGGATATGCACGGACCATAAACTTAAAGCCTAACTAGTGAAGATTAAAAAAAAAAAAAAAAGGGTGCAGCACAAGTGACGAGCAACTCAGGATAAAATCTAATGACTGGATAAAGTGGGTCTTTAAAACTTCTGGCTGACAAATCTGGTAACAATCCAGTCATTAAAACACCATGTGAGGATTCATCAGCAGCAGCAGCAGCAGGAGGAGGAGGCACACTGATCCCAATGCTGTGACACAAACACTCAAATCAAATAACCAAAACACAATCTATGATCCTCAGCTGGTCCTCATGTGGTTGTCCCTGCAGGACCTGTGGCCTCTTTGGCAACAAACAACCACTTTTTAACCGAAAGACTTGAAGCAGATGCCAGCTTCTTCCTGGCTTCTTCTGCCAGACATCCTGCTGCCAACATATGTGTCCAAGCCTGCCTGAACAGTTCATAGCTCCTGCTTGGTGTGTAGACTCTCATTCAGACTCACAGGAGAAAGCATCTGCTGTTCTCAACCACACTTCTCTTTTTGCTTCTTGAAGACGAGAGGTGAAACGTGTTCACGAACCAAAAGGAGAAGTCCAGTTGCCTTCTGCTGAGGCTCTCGGGGTTCCTGCCTGGAGAAACCTGTTGTGCTCTTCCAAACGGCCGGTCTGAATGTGTTGTGGTCGAGCTTGGAGAAAGCTAGCAGCTCAGAGAGGAGGACAGGGCAGGTGGGAAACGGTCCCCCCACGGCCGGTGGTCTTTAATCGTGTAAGGGGGGATGTGACAGGCGGCACAGAGGCAGACACACAGCAAATAATGGAGTAAAGCGCAGTTTAAAGTTCCCAACTTCTTGCTAACTTCTGACAGACGCTGGTTTGTCCGACTGGCATTTCCTGAAAACACACTTTGGGTACTCACCAGCCCCGGGGCGTCGCTGCTGCTTCCCGCTGTGTCGTCTTCTGTAAAAAAAAAAAAAAAAAAAAGTAGCTCAAGTGACAGATGAAAACTTCACAGGAGGTGAACAAACGAGGACTTTAGTTTCTCCGTCGCCGCTGGCCCTTTGGTTGACATGAGAGCAGCTTCATGAGTGTCGGAGAGGTGGCGGCTGCTGAGAAACAGCTCCTCCCACCGGCTAGCGTTAGCTAACTGCAGGAAGCGGCCGTTACAACACGGCGACGGCCGGAGCGACACAACGACGCACAACAAGTCCCTGTTTCTGCCTCATGCTGCTGCTGCTGCTGCGCACTCCGGAATATCTTTTAATAATCTCAAAATTACGTGTTTGTTTTACAGTTATCTGACAGCTACGTAGCGGCGCTGCGGTTACTGGAGTGTACGTTTTGATAAACTTTATTGTTCACAGGTTGCAGCAGCTGAATGAAAAGGAGGCACCGTCAGAAAAATAAACACAAAATTAAAATAGAGATTAAAAAAAAAAAAACGATAATATATATTGTTACATTATGTTGTTTCTCTCTTAAAAATATATGATAATATTACAAAATAAATATATTAAAAAAACTCGTACGTAAATATAAATTCAAAACGTTTTGATAAACTTTATTGTTCACAGGTTGCAGCAGCTGAATGAAAAGGAGGCACCGTCAGAAAAATAAACACAAAATTAAAGTAAAGATTTTTTTAAAAAAACATAATAAATATTGTTACATTATGTTATTTCTCTCTTTTTTTTAAATGTTAATGATACAAAAAAATTCATACATTTTAAAAAAAATAATACGTAAATATAATCACAACAATGTGTCCCCAAAAGTGTCCCCTGTCACTGATAAATAATTATATATTGTATTACTATATATGTCCTCAGTCAAGGAGTCCTTTATGATTAAACGAGAAAGTTCCGGTTGAAAAATATATTTCATTTTAGTTTAGTTTACTTTATTTATCTCAAACTACATATATATTTATTAAATACAGAATAAGCAACGCATATAAAATACATAAGCATTATTGAGAATTCAAGTACAATACTCAATAAAAGAGAAAGAAAAAAAACCAAAAGATCTGATATAAACATGATAATGCACATACACATATTTTGGTTGCAAGTTAGTTTCAAAATCATTGCTTTGGTTCATAGGTTCAAAACATTTTAAGGAATTTTACCCCGTAGAAGTATAAAAAATAAAATAAGTTAACTGTCATATGATTAACCCCCCACAAAAGAACAATATTATCCCTTCACGTTAACTCCTACAAAAGTCCACAAGAGGCAACTTTATACAGTGTATAATCCTAAAAAAAAATCTCCAAAATGCACTTAAAAAAACAAACTTTACTTTATGAAAAAAAATCTATTTAAAAAAGTAAAAAAAAAAAAAAAAAAAAGATTAAATAAAAAATCACAAATAATACTGCAAAAATATTCCTAAATCCATCCATAACAGAAAACAGCATTTTAACACCTGTAGAGAAAGCAATGGGTAGATTATGAGAACTAAACTCACAAAACTCTCACTGCATCTCTACCTGCACTTAAAGCATGTCTGTCTGATTACACGATCAGGATTCCAACAAGCAACTACAGTAAAATGTTGTTTACGTCAGCAACGTTTTTTTGTTGCATGATTCTTTTCATTATAAATTAATTTTCTCGTTCTCTTCTCTAACTGGTTGATTGTTTGACACGTGGATGTTCAACAGATGTCCTCAGAGTCACCCAAAGCCCAAAGTGACCCCATTATCATGTTTTATTAACCAACACTCCAAACATCACCGTTATTGACAGTCAGTTAAATTTAGTGAAGGAAAACAGTTCAACATTTCTTGCTGAAATGTCATTGAGTGAAATTATCAAGTTACATGAAAATACAAAGCAAAGTTCTGTACAAAGTTCTGTCGTAGAGTTTTCTTCTTCTTCTCTACCACATTAGTCATCTCAGCACTCACCAGATTCATCTTGTGACCTTTCGGAGGAGATTCAATTGTTGGATTTTATTACCACTGGACAAAACTACTTTATGTAATTAAAACTTTGCTGCACACTAACCTCCTTGAACTGTACAGTGCCACTCATGTGTCAATTAACAATCTATTTATGTAGTACATAACATATACAACAGTCATACGGCCATTTTTTTTTTTCAATAAGTACTTCCGCTTTTGACACTTCAATATATTTTGCTCATTAGGCAACTGTCCACATGAGTTGAAGCTGGTGTATGAATGACAGGACGGTAAAACACAGGGATTATTATAGGAGTTTTCTATTGAAAAGTTTCAAGGCTAAAAATGTTCTTGTAACTGCTTTACAACTACATTATAGTGTTTTATTAAAAGTTTGCATAGTGCTTAGTTTTACATTATATTGGTATGTTATTGATAACCCTAAACAAATTAATATTGTATGACTACACAGTTCATGTTGTAGAACTATATGTGATCTATTTTCTATTTCCTTTTGCTTTTTTTTCCTCCACCAACAACTGATTTAGTAAATGACCTTTTACATACAGCAGTAGGAGTAAGGGTGAGGCAACGACTTACACAAATTCACTTTTTAAGCATTGCAAATGGGAACAAATGTATTCAGGAAGTCACATTATTAAATATTTTATTCTCTACATTTACAATCACACAAAGCAACGCAGAGAAATGGATGAATTCATCCACACTGGTCTCGTCTTTTGTTTGGCATCGAGTCCAGCTGTGACAGTTCAGCAGCCTCTGATTGTTCTGGCTTGTCTCTGCGAGGTATTTCCTGGGAGTGACGAATTCTTTCAGCCTGTTTCATTCTGTTTCTTTGGCACATCCTGCTCTTGCTGTCCTGAGGTCTTTGGCAACGTCACGAAATAAGGTCTGTAGATATAAATACCACCAGCAACTCCGAGAACTGTGGCAACGGCCACCTGGTTGAAAGGCAGTCTTCGTCGAAACATGACTTCTCTCAACGAGGACTCACAAACTTCAGACGCAAAACGATCCTGAAAGAACAACAAAGTAGTGTCAAGACTCTTTAAGTTACAAGTGTTTTTACTGTCACTCTGCATTTCTTCTGCTTTGTTGAATGTTACATGTTCTTGCAAAATTCAACATATAGTGCAAGTTAACTGGCATGTTGCTGGCTGAGCTGGACTAATGCTACTGTACAGCATTTCCAAAGACACCACATACTATTGTGCATAGCATGAAATAGGATCAAGCAAACTACAAAGTTAGAACTATAAATCCACCCTGAAGTACTGGTAGGATTGTTTGGTGGATAAGAAAATAAACAAATACATTTTTTGAGCAGCCACAGGACTCTTTTTTTTTACGCTGAGAAAATGTTAATCCACAAATTCTGCATGGTCATATATGTCCTGCACACTGCTAAATACACGGACACACAGTTTTATTACTGCCTGAATAAACACCTTCTGCACCTTTCTCACCAGGATCATAGCGTCATTCATACAAGTGCAAAGGTCTGAAATAGACTTTCATGTTCTACCACCTGAAAGAAAACTGATGCTTCTTTATATCATGTCCATTCTAATGTTTAATTTTGCAGGGACAGTGCACAATTAAATGGAATTGCAACAGAGTTAGCAATCAGCCAGATTACATCAGTTGTCCCTGGAAATGTAGACAAAAAAACCCCAAACACAACAACAAATACACTACATGAAACAACACAATACATAGATCCTTTTCATGTGAGATAATAAATAGAATCAGTAAATGCAATAACTAAAATTAATTCAGTTGTGGCAGGGCTTTTTCTACATAAAATGTGTTAATTTTTTTAATTAACACCTAAAACTGAACATCCTGTTTTCCCCTGACATCCGTTATCAGCAGGCTACCGTGTTTATCCTGAGAAAACTGAGTGAGGGTTTGATTTTTTGATGCATCTTTGGCTGTACCAGCAGATAACTGCACTGACTATAACAAATAAGTCGTTAAAGCAGCCAGTAAAGACAAGACAGATGTTTCTATTCTGTACATTTAAACCACTGAGCAATCAAAAGTGATCTTTTCCCTCAACAAAAACACTTAAAAATTAAAAACACCGCGTTCAAGCAATATTATTTTGAAAGACCAGCTATTAGCAGGGTGATGCTAGCTTAACATGCTAAACATTTAGCTTAATACAAGTCAAACAAGATATTTGAACTCGTTTATTGTTTTTTTTTTTAACTCATTGTCTGTAACAATCCAAACTTACCGAAGAACCAGTTTGTAGGACGTGTCTGTAGTCACCAAACACAGACAGACAGAACAAAAAGGAGCTAAAGACACTCAAGGAGCAACAAACAGAACTGTTACATAGTGCAGCTTGCTTCTTCTTCTTCTTCTTCTACGGTGAACTGAGCAGAACAGCGATGACCTACACAGCGCCTCCTGGTGGCGCAGCGGTGACACGCTGCCTGCTGCTCACAGTAGAAACAATCTGAGCTGCTTCACTGAGGCTTGTTTTATACGTTTCTACTGCAAAACATCAACAAAAAAAAAGCCACAATGGATGTCAGAGATTCAAGAGGTCAATTAGAAATTACTTTAAGAACACAAATTTTGGGATACTTATAGATGATATTGATAGATAGATAGATAGATAGATAGATAGATAGATAGATAGATAGATAGATAGATAGATAGATAGATAGATAGATAGATAGATAGATCACTTTTTTTGTCATTCAAGCACACATGCATTAAAAAAACAGTGCACTAGAACAAAAAAATAAATAAAAAATAAAAACTCTAAAGTGTTATTCTATGTTTGTGATTGTTCCAGATTATTGTTGTGTGTTTTTGTGTTTTCCAAAGTGTTCTCAGCTGTTTGTAGTGTTTGTATGAGTCTTCCAGAGCGGAGCTGAAGGTTTTTAACATATCATGTTTACATGCAGAGCAGCTGTTGAGTGATTTTGTCTGCATTGCTGCTGGATGCTTGACTTTCATTTGAGATTAAATATTGAAGACTTCATTTGCAAAAACAGATAAACAAACCTTCAGAAAACCCACTTTTCCATCGTCTACCTGAGACAATATCAGTCAAACTTCAGTTATCTCTGTTTTTGTCATTTCTACTGAGTCAGATCTATTCAGCTTCAGTCTGATTAATATTATCTCAAGCAAACAACAACAACAACAACAAAAAGTTTTCTGAACATCTACAAAAATGTAGTTACCTGTTTTTGAACTCTTCGTATTTGTTATTCGTGATTGTCCAGCTGGGGGCAGCGATGAGTCCAAACTGCTGAAACCACGAGACAAGAAGAAGAGCTTTTATTTTGAAGTGTGGAGTCCACAGGCCAGCGGAGGTGAGTGGAAATACGGAAACGCGGCTGAATCTGGTGTTGGCTGGAAGTTCTCAGATCCACAGTCGTTTCATTGAAGATGTAAGAGTTTATTCCTGCTGGTGTGATCAACAGAAAGTTCCGGTTAGTGTGTGATTCTGGAGCCGGACGTGTTGTGTTTCCTGGTGTGAACTTCCTCCTGACAGGTGAGTAGACAGGTGCTGCTCTCAACACAACATGTCCTGATGGAGAACCTCCGAGCGCGGCTCAAGTTTGGGAACAAAGAGGAGGATGTGAAGCTGAGGAAACGTAGATCTCTGCTGTACTCAAAGGAAGACCAGAGTCCTCTGAACGACGGTGTGAACCACATTCATCATTTACACCCTCTGATGTGATGGACAGTCTGTGTGCAGCGGATGAATCAGTGCAGTGGTTTGTTGACTCCACAGGTGTGCTGAGAGCCAGAGTCGTGGTGTTTTCTGTGGTGTTCAGACTCATCAACTGCCTCCTGGTCCAGAGCAGCTTCGTCCCTGATGAGTACTGGCAGTCTGTGGAGGTCTCCCACCGCATGGTCTTCTCATATCCTTCTAACACATCAGTGGACACCTGAGCTTTCATTGTTGTGATCAGCTGATCATCCCACATGGGGATGGGACTCCTAACAGTTTCCCCCAAAAGTAATAAGTGCGTCCACGCTTGTTTCTAATACTCTGTGTCAAAGGCAATAAACAACTGCAGTTTTGTTTTATGTTTTACTGATATATCCCTTGATTTTGATGCCCAAAGTTGCTGAACAAAAAGGAGATTTTGGCTTCAGATTAGGACGGATGGAAAATTAATGAAAAATAACTTTATGTGAGAAGTTACTGAAAAAGAAGTTACAAAATTCTAACAAACCTATATGTACTTTGAGTACTGAAACTCAGAAATATTCACATCATGAAGGTAAAATTTTGTGTAACTTCATTAAATATACTAAAGTTTTATTATTATTATTGTTATTAATGATAATAATAATAAACTTTATTTATAGAGCACTTTTCAAAATAAATGTTACAAAGTGCTTAACAATAAAAATAAATTAAAATACAATAAGAACACAGAGCAATTGATAAAAGTAGAAAGCAGGAAGCTCTAAAACATAAAACTTAGATAAAATCAGGAAAAGCTCTCTGATAAAAATGTGTTTTAAGAAGTGACTTAAAAGAGAGCGCAGAATCAGCCGACCTGGTATCCTCCAGACTGAAAATGCTCTGTCCCCCTTTGTTTTCAGCCGGGCGTCTGGGGCAGTTAAAAGACCTTAACCCGAGGATCGTAAGGAACGTGGTGGAGAGTACAGTGTTAAAATGTCGCCAGTGTAAATAGGACAGAGACCGTTGTTAAGTTTTGTATTAAAAAAAACAAAAAAAAACAGTTGAATGTGAGAGGGTCAGGTGGAAGGAACTGATTGATTTTTCATAGAATCACTCAAGTTCTATCTGTGTGTGTGTTTTTTGCATATATCATCATCATCATCATCACTGATCAAGCTGACTGACTGACCTGACAGTTTGCATATATATATAAACTGTCAATAACTGTCACATAACTTTCAATAACATAGAATTCTCCTCTGCAGTTATCATTTCTTTAGTTTTATTAAATCTGAAGCAAAGGAAGGCACCGGAATTCAAGATGTTAGTAATTAATCACAGGTGGAACGATACAAAATCAGGCAAGAGATAAATAACCAGAGAAAATTCACCACTAAATTTGAATAATACCAATATCCCAATAATTGGCTGCAACAGAAAAAAAAAACTACTTTTGACAGATGGCAGATGTACATTAAATCTTGTCTCTTCACTTTTCACATCATTATCAAACTGGTTTACTATTAAAGAAAAATCTGTCGTTAAGAATTCACATCAAGAAACATGTTCAGGACTTGAAAAAGAAGATTTTTGCTGCCTTTTGCTTTTACATGTTAATATGTTAATATTTTATTTTATTTTGGTATCTGTTTTCTGCTTCTTTGCACCAATGGACCAAGTCAAATTCCTGGTGATGTAAAAATTACTTGGCAATAAAACTGATTCTGATTCTGATTCTGATACATACAGTTTACAAAGATATAAAGTGACTCTTCACATTTGTGAAACTAAAGCCACGCGCTTGTTTTCTTGTGTTATTTTATGCTGTTTCAACCTTAACTGTGTGACTTATGGGTATCTGACCTGGGAATGGAAGGCAGGAATCAGAGGATTCTTATATCCACTTTTCTTTGCATTCCTGTACAAGATACTACACCTCATGAACTACGACTCAGTCCTTCTTCTGGTATGTTCCTTTTATTTCTGTTCTTTAAACTTATTAAATCAGCATTTGTTGGCTGAATTAATCTCATAAAAATCTATGAACTCGCTCTGACTGCCTCTGCAGATTTGGCTTCCGCGAATATCTCAAGCGCTGCTGGCTGCGTTTGCTGATGTGAAGTTCTTCTTCCTCGTCCAAACGTTGGAAAATCGCGAGGTTGCGAAATGGGCGGTAAGAAATTGTGCCAGTATTGTGTGCTCTCTGCTGTAGTTCATTCACCAAATAAATGTTTTTGTCAGTATGGGTTTCTGTAGTTGCTAAAAATGAGATATCTTCTTGTTTTAATTGGAAGACAGATTACAACTGAATACACTGAACTAGAACACAGCGAGAAACACACAGCTGCATGTTTGTGAAGTCATTCGGTATTCTCCGGATTCTTGCTGTTAACTTCTTATTTCACTGCCTGGTTTTGTTTTGACCTCCAGTTCTTCTGTCAAATGTGTTCCTGGTTCACGTGGTTCTGCTGCACCAGGACTCTGACCAACAGCGCTGAGACCTCCATCACCTGTCTGGCTCTGTTTTACTTCCCCCTGCCTGGGTCCAGGTCTCACAGCAGGTCTCTGCTGGTTAACACCTTTATCTGCCTCATGACGATCTCCCCAGTCTCTCAAACAGACTGTTTACACACACTGTTGTTGTTGTTTTTGTTCCAGCAGGAAGTATCTGGCCCTGGTGGCCTTGGCTGTGATCATCCGACCGACGGCTCTGATCGTCTGGTTTCCTCTGATCGTTTACCATTTCTGGCACGAAGACAACAAACTGAGACTCATCACTCATAACTACATTCCTATAGGGTTCGTACTTTCAGCCTCACGTCCACTAAGACTGGATTCTTTTCCTCGATGCTTACTCGCTCTCTCATCACCAGGACGCTGGCCGTTGCAGTTTCGACAGCGATCGACTGTCTGTTCTATGAAAAGGTAAAATGTTTCAGACACGTACAGGAACTCCTACGTAGATGTGAAGTCAGACGTAACAGCTGATGTTTCCTTCGCAGTGGACGCTGGTGCAGTGGAACTTCGTCAAGTTTAACATCATCCACAGCGTGGCCGACTTCTACGGCTCCCACCCCTGGCACTGGTACTTCACTCAGGGCTTTGCTGTTGTGATCGGACCTCATCTGCCTTTCTTTCTTCACGGCTGCGCACTCGCCTCCAGGAGATATAAAATCCTGCTGGCAGCGGTCGTCTGGACCATCGTGGTTTACAGGTACAACTGATTTACATTAGGAAAGCTGAAGAGCCACGCTGAGAGGAAAACAATATACAATGCAAATCAAGAGCATGTGACACATTTATGGAGTATTTCATAGAAGAAGAAGAAGAAGAAGTTCTTTATTGTCATTGTGCAAAAAAAGCACAATGAAATTTGAAATAGCAGCTCTTGTATGCAGTGCAAAACATCAGGGGGAAAAAAAAGTGCAAAAGACATAGATAGACAATAGAATAAGAAAAATATGAATATAAATAAAAACAAGCAGGATATTGCATTGAAGATATTTTAGGAGTATTGCAAGTGATGCATAGATGTAAATCTTTCTATTGCACAGTGAAGAATGATGATTAACTTTTGTTCAGGGTTTGGCAACGACAGCTCTTTTAATACAGTAAAGAGAAATGACAGACCGACTGAATGCCATTTCGACATAATGGGCTGATTACTGGCTCACGAGGCCACTGAACAAAAAGTGTCTGCAGACCAGAAATAGCACATGAAGAGCACGCAAGGTCTAAAGTTAGCGCTTTGGCAAACAGGTGCTTGACTAGTGCGAGTGTGTGTTACAGTTTAAAATTAGCCACTGGACAGTTTAAGTGTTTTTAGATGAGCTTAGATAAATAGAAATTAAAAAGCAGCACAGCTCATTGTCAAGAGTAGAGACATAATAGAATAAGCATAAGGAAGCATCAGACCTCTTTGTGTTTCTCAGAGCAGTAGGAAGACAAGCTGCTGTCTGAACAATAAAGTTTAGTTTTTTGATTACTTGTAGACCTTTATTTGATGCCATTTAAAGAACAAATGATTTAGAAGAAGTGAACTGTAGACGGATCTACTGCAGAAAATAGACAGTATTAAATGATCAAATTCTATTTTATGAGATGCAAGATGAGATGATATGTCAGCTATTGGCTCTCTACATTTCAGCACTGGCCTTTGAAAAACTCATGTCAAGAGTTGGATGTTCACACCAAGTAAAAATGATCAGACAGGGTCGAGGATTTACCCGACATGTGATTTAGACCTCACATTTTCTCTGTAATGTCATTCTCCTTTATTTTATTTTATTTTTTAAATTATTTTATCTGAGTGAAATATTCAGTATCCTCAGTGACACTAACATCATGAGTAATTTGCTGTAACTTGATATTAAATGTGTGTGTTCGCTCTATTCTGAATTACTTGCTTCAGACAAAAGAAGAAACGTGTGCAGAGGTGATATTTGTGGTCATGTTGAAACCTGCTATGTCTATGTGCTCGCTATCATCTCTTCTTATCTGCCTTTAATGGCCCACTGCGTTTCTGCAGGAACACAGCAACAGCGTCAAAAACTCCAAGTATCACTTTATAGTTTGACTGTGTGTCCTGATGTCTGATCACTGCCATGTTTCTTCTCTTCAGTTTGCTTCCTCATAAGGAGTTCAGGTTCATCTATCCCGTGCTGCCTTTCTGTATGGTCTTCTGTGGTGAGTTCCCCGTTTCACACCCAGAAACGTGCTCATTTCCACCCAGATGTTTTCATACTAGACGTATTTTCCCACCTCAGGGACGTCTTTGGCTCATCTGAAAGCGTGGCGTCGAGCTGCGGCAGCCTTCCTGCTGGTGGCCAACCTGGTTCCTGCTCTGTACACCGGCCTGGTTCACCAGCGAGGCGCTCTGGACGTCATGAACCACGTCCAGGCTCTCTGCGACGCCAGCAACGTGTCCGCCCACCTGCAGCCGGACGTCCTCTTCCTCATGCCCTGTCACTCCACGCCCTTCTACAGGTACAGCAGTGCATGACGGGATCTGACGCAGTCTTTGAAATTCCTGAGGGGAAAGCTGTGATGCGTTCACTCAAAACACTGAGCTCAGAGTAGGAATGTGTTTTTGATCAGTTTTTCATACAGTATTTTTGAAATCACAAGCTAGCTCTGCGTCCTGTGATCCAGTGTCGGTTCTGTCACCGTTACACTTGGCCCGATTACCTGCAAGAGGTCTGATATTAAAAAAAAATCTTGAATATTTAAAATTTTAAGAGTATTTCAAAATGCTGGTAGTAAAAATGTACTGAAGCTTTAATAAAATATAAGAAACATGACATCTAAAGGTTAGCAAACCCTGTCAAAAACAAGAATTATAAATAACTTTTTGTCCACAGTGTGCTAGTAGCTGTTAAAGCTCATGTTGTTTGATATTGGCGACATTGAGTTTTGTTTTCTACATGAAAATACTCTCAGACTTCTGAGTAAATTTAATCTTGTCAGCTGTTCAAGAGGTTTGCCTGAAATAAAATAGGAAGCAGGACTAAAAGTCTGACTGAGGTACCAGTGACGGTCATTTTACTCAAAAGTTCAGACTCTTTAGCTCCGTGTGTTTCACTTCTACAAAACTGCATCCCGCACAGGCCCGACTGTGTTAAAAATATCTGCAACAAAGTGGTGATCTCAACCCGTCGTTGTTGCTCAGAGCTGTCGGCTGGATTCACAGCAGAGAAATGGCATTAAAATAATACGCTCCCTCCTTTGAAGCATTTCATTCTCCCAGAATTTTTCTTTTGGTCTTCATGGAGTCTGGGAAAAAGAGCAGGGAAGTGACACGCACCGCTTCTTGGGCCGCTCGACCCGCAATTATCTCATTGGAAGCTATTTTCAAATTGAAGTTTTGGGCTTTTCTAGTCCAGTTTTGTTACGATGACACGCAGTGGCTCTTCTGTCTCGTCCTCGCAGCCACGTCCACTGTCCGCTGAAGATGAGGTTTCTCGAGTGTCCTCCAGATCTCGGAGAGGAGGGTTACTTTGAAGAAGCCAAGAGATTCTTCGACGATCCTGTTCTCTGGCTCAGGACCTCGTTCCCACACAAATCCTCTCTGCCCACCCATCTGGTTTTGTTTGATGTTTTAAAAAAGGTAAGACGCAGGTTCTGTTTTTGCATATATTTGTGAAAACTGTGTACTTTTAAACTATTATTTTTCTTTTTTTTTGTAGGAAATCTCTGTGTTTTTGCAAGAGAATAACTTTGTGAGGACGGCAGAAATATTTCATACCCATTTCCCTGAAGGAAGAGTTGGAGGAAGCATCTTTATTTATGAAAGGCACTGACAAACACTGGAACAATGGCAACTTCAGTTCCTGAAGGAAAATGTCCTATGATATGGATTTGCTACTGAAATAAATATTTTAAACTAAACTGCTGTCATTTTTCTTAATTTCACCGGTCAAATCAAACACACATCTTTATCCACAATTGATTTCCAGGCTTTTCTTTCCAGTCATGTGAGAGTGAAATCAAACTGCTAGGTCCAGTTAAACAAGCTCGAGGTGGAATGTTAAAATAGCATTTAAAGTCTAAAAGCAAACTACAGCCACGTCACACAAACCTGTCTTTGTAGCAGCAAATTAAAACAATGCAACTGTACAGGGAAACACCCTATATGTGGCATGTCTTTGCATCGTTTTGGGGTTTTTTTTCGGTTTTACATGGCACAGTAGTCGGGCTCCCAAATAACATTTTCTGCTTAACATTTTTTTAAAACACAATTCACGTGGTTGAAAACAAATATTGATGCCGTTTCAGCTGGAAATCTTCATCAGGTCCATCATTTAGAAGCCAAAAGTTAAAGAATGTTTAAGTTTAAGACTCGTGAACTGAACTCAAACCTCTCGTGTTGCAAACGTGCAGCCGACATAAGACATGCCACATCTTCCATTCGAACCTAATAACGGTAACGTTGCTAAAACCAAACAGCTCAAGGACATTCAGTAGCATTAAAAACGTAACATTGTGCAAACTTACAAAAAACAAAAAAAAAACAAGAGGGAGACTTTGCATCTAAATACAACCCAAACATTTGCCACTATCATATGAAACTAGCGGAGATATTTTCAGTACTTGGGGTCAAACGGCATCGGGCCCAATTCTATTTTGACGTCGGCCATGTGTCTGTCTGCGTTTCTACCTGATCTGCTCCACTTGCGCTCGCTCTGTGCTCGAGATCGGGCTCTCTGCTGTTTACGCTGTTGATGCTTCGCCCTCAGCTCCTCCTTTGAGTCTGTGTCGGGTCTTTCGAACGGCCCGCTGTGTGATGAAGAACACAAAACAAAGTTACAGGCTTGTGGTTCCGTTGTAGTCAGTTGTTGTTAACATTCATTTCCCAGCTGTTCCTGAGTTGAACCAGT